AAGCGCCTCCTGAAAGGCTCTCCAAAAAGTAGATGTGAACTTTGTGTCCCTATCTGACACAATACTAACAGGAACTCCATGTAATCTCACGATCTCCTTGATGTAAATCTCTGCCAACTGGTGAGCGTTGTCCGTCTTCTTAATTGCTAGAAAATGTGCCGATTTAGTGAGTCTATCCACAATAACCCAAATAGCATTTTTCCCACCACCCGTTGTTGGGAGTCCAGTCACAAAATCCATAATCACCATATCCCATTTCCACTTAGGCAAAGGCAAATTCTGCAATAACCCGCTAGGCACCTGATGCTCAGCCTTAATCATCTGACACGTCTGACACTGCGATACAAATGTAGCAACATCTTTCTTCATACCAGGCCAATGGTAATAACGCTTCAGATCCCTATACATCTTAGTATTCCCTGGATGGATAGAGAAACGTGAGTGGTGTGCTTGCTGCAAAATCTCTTTCCTTAACAACTCATCATCTGGCACACAAACTCGATTCCGGTACATGTACATCCCACTCAATGCTGTATGGTATCCAATAGTCTCGATCTCAATCTGCTTAACCAATGCCTCATCATTATCCTGAGCACTGCGGTGACATAGATAGCCAAATTAATCCTCGTAAGCCTTTTCATATATCACAACTCGGGATGTTACAATTCACCCCCTCTCAAAGAACGCAACGCCCCTGTTGCGCTCCCCGACAGGTCTCAAGACGCCTCTCAGGTCAGAACTGAGACGGCTAACCAGCTCTGATACCACTTGTAACGCTCCGACCGCCCACAGCTAACGGGCCACCCACGCCCGCTCTCTCGGCCCGTGGGCCCCACCCCGTTCCAACGGTCGGTCCGTTAATTTTCCAAGGCTCTAGAGTCTTGTTTACTGACCCTGCAATCACCACATGATCTTTCCCCGTGCTTTGGCCTCACTTACACGGTATCGCAAATCACTTTCCGATAGGTCACCCATCCTTTGACTACTCCAGCTCAAGCACGCTTAACTCTGGAGTTCTCTCTGGATGTGCTCCCGAAAAGGTAAGTGCACTTTGGTGACATAGGTAGCCAAATTAATCCTCGTAAGCCTTTCCATATATCACAACTCGGGATGTTACACTTTTTAACTCTTTCTAATATTATAAAGAACAGAGAAAAAGAAGGTGGTCAAAGCATGACATCACCACTAAGATATTCATCAAGAAACGTAGGTTCATTATTCACATATTCCCATGTACGTTTGATAAAAATACATTAAAACAACACTGAGAGAAAGAAAAGAAAGTTCATGATCGATGATTAATTGGATGTACCATCTGTACTACTACTATTTTTAAAGGAATATAGTAATTTCGCGATCTTGTTAGTGCGTTTTTTTAAAGTTCAGTGACGTGTAAAACTGACATGGAATAAACACGAACTGTTGTCATCTTGTCAAATGCAGTAGTGGACTGAAACGGCAGGAACTAACGCACGTGGGCCCGTAGCTTAAGTACAATCAAAGTCTTTGACCATTGAAGTATCACACGTGCGGCTTCTAAAAAGATGCCGTACCCACCTCACAATTTCTTTCATAGGCCAAATGTGGCATACAGCAAGATTAATGATTAGTATATTCTCACTGAGTTGAAGTTAATACAATTTTTGTGTGATGAGGGATGATGCAGAACAGTGTGTTCCGCACAAACCAGTACTAATGAAAGTAGATTAACATGTAATTACCAACTAAAAGCCGCTATTATCATGAAGTAGCAGTGATAAACTGATATTTTTATTCTTATAAGTGTTTGCAACAAACTGTTATCATTGAACCACACACACTCTTCAAGCAGTAGTAAACTGATAACTTATTCTTTAAATAAATTTGCTGTTGACAAAAAAAAAATGTTCACAGACAAACTAAACATTGTGTTCTAACCAGAGAGATGAGATCACTTAGATCTCTTGTTAAAAATGCTTTCGTCGATGAAACCAGGAAACCCTTTGAGAACATCTCGCAGCGCGTAGTAGTGGCTATCACATTTATGGTCTGTAATGAAATTACCTGAGAGAAGTATCCTCTGAAAATGTTGTCCTGGATCTCTCTTCCATAGATTAAAGTATTCTACTTTCTTCCCTGCTGAGCTTTTTTTGTTTCCTCTTACGTTCCTCATCAGATAGTATACTGCTCCCGGTACATACAACTCTTCTGGCAACTTAACAACATCTTTAGTTGTAGTTTCAGTGCTCAAGGTATCAGAGTAATCGTTCTTCGACGAAGGGAGTTCTGATGAGAATCAAGAAAAATAAAGAGATTAATGAAGATGATACGTTTTCTAGTGATGATACTCAATAGTTACCAGGATAATCGTTCTTGTTTCCAAAATTTGCATACTCAGAAACTTTACGAGCTGCGTCTTGCACGGAGGAGACGACTTGTTTCGCGTTTGTTACCAAGTCTAATACGCTTTTCCACTCTTCCTTCTCGATCACACTTGTCCTGGATTCACAAAGCATGTCAGTGAACAAACTGATTGTAGAAGAAGAGCTATGAAGTAATTTGCTTACCAATCGGTCTTAAGTATTTCATCTCTCAATCTCGCTAGAGAAGCTGTACTCAGTCTCGGTATAATATCATCCTGACAATAGCAGTAATGCTGTGAGTGTAATCTCAACAAAACTTGATCAAGATAATAGAGACTTTACGTTTGTTCAGACCTGCATAACAATAGTTGTCACAAACTCAGAGCAGTTCTCTGCAAGCTCTCTGGAAACACAAGGAGGTGTCGCATATCCAACTGCCGAAATGATCTCAGCGTCGAATCCCAGCTCCTTTCTTGGCATTTTCCTAAGCATAATCGCCATTAAAGAAGCTATAGCACCTCCCAGAGAATGACCAACAAGCCTTAACTTATATCCCTACAGAAAAAATCATCTCAATATAAACCAAACCTTTCTCTCATGTCATGTAAACAAAAACAAACAATGACTCATTTCACTCACCTCGTATTTCTCTAAGCACCTTCTTATAGTCTGCAACTCATGATTAAGAAACCACCGTGCAGCTTCAGCGGTTCCAAAGTGCGTCGAGTATCCTTCAAACGTGACCTCATCATCACTTGAAGAGACAATATCAGTAATAATATCATAGATAGTATGCGTCCCACGTATTCCAAAGACTACAAGCTTCCTCCGATGATCAACTCCCACGTAATAACCAGGCCTCATAACACTAGAATCTTTCACAAATTTAAGAATGTTGTTCTCTCGGAGCATGGTGTTCTTCGCAAGACCACTCACACTATCCCTGTAACAGCCTTTGGCTAACTCCGCGTTGTATATGAGATCAGAAACCTGCAAAAAAAAAAGAGAGAGATGCTTTAGAAGTTTTGGTTAAAAAGGGAAGTTAGTGACAAGGATAATGTTTCTCCTTACGGTTGATTCTGAAACAACTTGAACTCCCTTAACGTCCTCAAATGGAGACAATGATGCTTGTCTAAGGTAGATAAGATAAAGACCGATTGTAAGATCACCGAGAGTCCAACCTTCAATCCCAAGCTTACTCTTTTGAATACTAGCAATGATCTCAGATAAAGATCTACTACCAGGTTGTGATTTCTCTCCTATCAGAGAGAAACACATTAAACACACTATCTCTCAGGATTATGAAATGGAACCAAGAATCAAGTAACTATATTATACTAAATAGACCTGTAGGAAGAGCCCATCTACGGAGTTGAGTAGCAGGTTCAAGTGCTCTAGTGAGCCAAGCTAAGTCTAGTTTCCACTTTCCATCACTTGTTGTATCTTCATCACCAGAGCTATCACTCTCGATTCCTGACTCAACTCGTCTTCTATTCTCTAACTCAGAACTATGTGAATCTTCTAACTCCTTGCCTGATTCTGGTAACCTTGACTTAAACCGCTTGATTACATTGTAGAGTACTCCTTGATACAACTCTCGTCTCTTCTTCAACGGTGAATCATGATGCACAACTGAAAATATTACATTAAAAAATTAAAAAAAAACAGAAACTTTATAATAAAGTTCAAAACTTTGTTATATCAAAACAGATTAAAACACTCAAAGTGGAAAACATCAAGAAACGAAACCAATGAATCATCATCCAACGAGTACTAATTTGACATTCAATATTCGCGTTCATCGAAAGTGATTCATCAGTCTCTTATGTTTAAGAGATTGAGAGTAAATTAGAGAGCTTACAGAAATTCCATAAAAGACGATTCAGTGACTTGTTGTTAGCCATTTGGAGTTGTTCCAGAAAAATGGATTGTACAGCCAGAAACGACGACGTGGAAATGGGCGTGTGGCAGTATTTATCGGTGCGTGCCGTTAGCTAAACCGCTAGGCCGAGCATGTCGGAAAACGAAAACGGAGGAAAAGTATCACACCGACTGACTGATCTACCGTCATCGAGACTTTTCCAAGGCTTCTAAAACAGTTATTGGGCTTAATTGGGCCTATTCTCGGCCCATTATAATGGGGGTGAATATAAGTAATGTTTTTTTTGAGTGATTTAGTGAACTACCCATATTTGAATTTCAAATTAGCAAAATATCATTGATTGGACATGAAGGACACTGACACAACCATTTGTCAAGGAAATGCCGAGAATGCCCTTTCTCTTTCCTCTCATTAACACGAAGCGTAAAAATATTTGTTAACATATAACACTTCTGTTAACGTCTACAATATTTGTTAACAGCCAACACATTTATTACCGCGAAGCGTAAAATAATTGTTAACAGTTAACACTTTTATTAACGTCTACAATATTTGTTAACAGCGAACACATTTATTAACGCGAAGCGTAAAAATTATTGTTAACACCTAACACTTCTGTTAACGTCTACAATATTTGTTAATCGCTAACACAGCGTCGAATCTAAAACCCAGAAAATTGATATCATCAAAAAATTGAGCATTCAAAGCCACTTATGAAAAAAATAATGAAATTTAAAATTTAATTGTATATAAAATGATAGAGATTTGTAAAATAATAGGGATTGGAGAGAAAAAAAAGGTCAAAATTGAAGATTCAAAGCCACTAATGAAAAAATAATGAAATTTAAAATTTAATTGTATATAGAATGATAGAGATTTGTAAAATAATTAGGGATTGAAGAGAGAAAAAAAAGAGAGGAGATATCAAAGAGAGGAGAGAGAGTGTAGAGAATGGCAAAATGGTCCAAAAAGTGATTATCACATCATGGACAATTTTCTAATTATAGATGCCAAATAGTGCACTTTAGCCAATTATCTCTTTTTTTTTTACTGAGGAAAGAAAAACAAAACTTACGGTTACAAACTTATTGTTAAGTTATATTAACAGAAGACCAAATCTATCAAACTATTTTTTTTTTTTTTTTTTTTTTGTCACGTGGGGAAATCTCACCCAGGAATCCCTGAAGACGGAGTCGAACCCCGGTGCCTTGGATACCACTTAGCCACTAAGCTAAGGCTGACCCGGCAATCTATCAAACTACTTATAGTTTCAAGTGTAATAACAGTTGTGACATAAGATAAAATTAACTACTTTAGAACTTGGGGCCTTGCATTACTCACTTGAAGCAATGTCTTTACTATGACCACTTGTAGTTTCTAGTGTAATAACAGTTGTGACATAAGATAATAAAATTACATGGGAAGTATATGAACCATGAGCAAAAGATTAAATGCCCTACTGATTATCTTAACACAACATAAAAAAGCTAGCTTGCAACGTTCAGAAACAAAGACATAACCATATTTGTTAAAAAAGTTGAATCTCTACTTATTAAAATTCAAAAATCAGCATTCAAATGAAAAAAAAAACCTTAATAGCGTTTCTTAAAAAAAAAAAAAACATATTAACCTAATCGACCAACAGAAACCCATCAGCACAAGATTTATCCTTTTTCTTGTCAAGGTCAATTTTGACATGCGAGACCATCAACTCAATGTTCTTGACACTCTGCTCGAGTTGTTGAATTAGAGAACCATCAGCATCATCAGCTTTATTCTTCTCATTGGAGATCTCTTCCAGCTTTGTAATCAAACTCTCCAGCTTGAATCGTAGACCGTTGACATGTTCCTCAACTCGTTGGATTCGAGAGTCAAAGACACTAGTCTCATATGATTTTTTCCTCTCCAAGTCACCAAGGATCGTATTCAAACGCTTATTAAACCCCAATTCCATCAGCGCAAGATTCTTGACACTTTGCTCTACTTTTTTGGCAAGGGACTCATTAATATCCTCTGCTTTCTTCCTCTCCAAAGAGTCAAGCTTGAAGGCCAATTCCTTCAGCTCAAGATTCTTGACACGTTTCTCTAATTGTTTGGCACGAGACTCATTAGTATCATCTGCTTTCTTCCTCCCCAAGGAAAGCTCATCATGCTTCAGCTCAAGATTCTTGACACGTTCCTCTATTTGTTTGGCACGAGCCTCATTATCATCATCCCATATCTTCCTTCCCAAGGAAACCTCATTAAGCTTCAGCTCAAGATTCTTGACAAGTTTCTCTACTTGTTGGGCACGAGACTCATTATCATAATCCGATATCTTACTCCCAAAGGAAAGATCATCGAGCTTCAGCTCAAGATGCTCGACACGGTCCTCGATTTGTTGGACCTTTGACCCATCAACATCTGGTTTATTCCTATCCAAAGAAACCTCCTCTAGCTTAGACTTCAACCAGTCAAGCTTGAAACCTACGTTCATCAGCTCACTCAACTCGCTGCTAGCCTTGCTCAGTCTAGTCTCTGAAAGGCTCATTGGAGGCTTATTAAGTGTTTTAATGACCCTGAGGAGGACATTCATGTATGCTGTCTTCACTTCTTGGTTCGTTGGTTTGAAATCTTTTGCAAATTCTGGGTGCTCTGTGAATATCTTTCCCACTTTAGTAACCTGCCATGCAAAAAAAAAAAACATGTTTATGTTACAAAAAAACATGTTTATGTTACACTATAAAGCAAGTGGTTAAATACATAAAACAGATGCATTTAACTTAATTACCTGAGAAGCAAAAACTTGAAAACCGTTGATATCAACAGTCTTCTGCTTCTTGTTGTCGGATACATCTCCACCTTCTCCATCAAAAGCTGCTTCAACATTAACATTGATGTAGACTTCAATGATGAGTTTATCATTCTCCAAAATCCCTTTTTCCTGAAACTTGCTTAGAGGCAAGAGATTCCGGTAACCCCATGATGGAGTCTTAGCGCAAAACGAGTTGCCCATTGTAACTATGAAACATAAAAAAAACATGAAAACAATCATTAGATAAACTTCTTCACCGTGAAGTTGCGTGGAGGCTAATTAAAGAGATATGATTATGGTCCTATTGTGTTGGAAAAAAAAAAGTTATGGTCCTAAATAAGCTAACTCCAAAAAAGATCTTATTGTTACGTTCTAAACACGAATTATATTAAACTGAAAGATAAGCAAAAAGAAGAGGGTCAAACGTCATTACTTGGTGATCTGCGGAGTTCTTTGTCGGATTGATTCAAGAGAACGAAGTAATGGTCAATACTCCTTTTCCATCCAGTTGGCAACTTTGAAGAATTTGCAACGCTAAGGTACACAGACAAGTAACCATCAGCAGAACGAGCTCCCTTAGGATAAATGGAGAGAAACCTGAAATTAATAATATGAATATTACTCAAGACATGGAGAGTTTAACAAAAGCAAGTTATATAACGATGCGATTCTTTTTCGTTTTTTTTTTTTACCATTCACATCCGCCGCACTTGAATATAGTAGACGATATGACACCTTCCTTCTCTGACAAGTTATCTATCGCAAACCTAAAACTCGGCTTTTGGTTCCACATATCTGATTCTGACCAAGCCCTTTCCTAGTTTCTTACTTCGAGCAAATTAAACACGAACTTTTTAGAAGCTCTTTGTTGGTTACGTTCGGTGGTAAATAATCCCTTTTGTTTATATAGAGGAGGCTAGGTTAAAACTTCTCAAAAGCCCTAGCTCAAAAGGTAAACTGAATTATAAATAATTAACTAAATCTACTAATTATTAACTATAGCTTTTTATTTTATTTATTAGTTCTGTCAATTAAATTTTCAGTTTCCTTTGACTTCTGTCTTTCCAAATTACATATATAATAAAAAGGTTATAGAATATTAAAACAAAATTATACTTTATATATAATTTGATCTCAAAAAAAAAAGTTGTTCAAAAATAATATTAAAAAATCTTCTTTTTAAAACATAATATTAACTGCATGTAGATATTTAATTTAGTGGAGGATATACATTGTTATCGGGACAAAGATGAAAACTATTAGCAAAAAATAATATGTGAGCAGTGGCATAACTAAAATTTTTAAAAAGTTACACTAAATTAAAAAAAAATTCATCAGGGGCCCCACCACTTGTAGTTTAGGTTTTTGGTTTCCAAGAGATGTGTATCCCCATTTGGATACGGATAACAATTTAACCGTCTAATTAATACCCTAAAATACTGGGATATCCAGACCATTCTATCCCTATTTTATATATCAAAAAATAATTTCAGGTAAAAGTTAAATGTGAAAATTTGGTTAGCTACGAGCAGAATCGATTTGTTGGTTAATTATGGGATTAAATCAGAAAGAAAATAACACTTTTGATTATGTCGAATCTCTAGACTATAGGATTCACATTGCAAAACTAAAAACCAAAACACGAGAAAAGTGAAGCGACATTAATCAATAAACTAAAAACTTAATCAAGCAAAGCACTAGTCGACCAACAAAAATCCTTCAGCAGTAGATTTGTCCTTCTTCTTGTCTACTTCAACTTTGAGACACGACATCATCAGCTCAATGTTATTGAATCTTTCCTCAAGTTGTTGGCACCGAGCATCATCAGATGTCTTCCTCTCTGAGGACACTTCATCAATCTTTGTATCCAAACATTCCATCTTGAGTTCCACTTCGCTTGACAAGTCCATGACATATTCCTTGAGTTGGACTCGAGTCTCAACAGCATAATCAAGCTTTGTACTCACAAAGTCCAGCTTGTCCCCTATATCCATCAGCTCAAGATTCTTGATGCGTTCCTGGAGTTGTTGGACCCAAGACGCACCAGCATCATAATCTTTCTTACTCTCCAAGGCAATCTCCTCAAGCTTCAACTTCAAACTCTCCAGTTTAGAGTCTGTTTTCATTACCTCAATGTTCTCGACACGTCTCCCGAGTAGTTGGGCCCGAGACTCAGAATCATCATGATATCTCTTACTCATCAAGGAAACCAAATCAAGCTGCGTCTTTAAACTGTTCAGTTTCAACCCTAATTCCATCAGCTCAAGATTCTTAACGCTTTCTTCAAGTTTTTGGAAACGACACTCATCAGCAGCATGTGATTTCTTCCACTTGGACTTTAACTTCAAACAATCCTTCTTGAATCCTGATACCTTTGGTTCAAGTTTCTTGATGCGTTCCTCGAGTTGTTGCACCAAACCGTCTGCCTTCTTCCTCTTGGAGGAAACTTCATCAAACTTTGACTTCAACCAGTCCAGCTTGACTCCTACTTCCGCAGTCTCCCTCAACTTGTTGCAAGCGTTGCTTAGTTTATTCTTGTATTCTTTCTTCGCCACGTGCTCTGCGAATGTCTTTTTCACTGAAGCAACCTGCCAAAGACAACGTGTTTTGTTACTCATATGTTTTTATTCAAGAAAAATAATAAAAAAGACGTATCAGTTTTTTTGACTTACATGAGAAAATAAAGCTTGGAAAGCATTGATATCCCCGCCTTCTCCATCAGAAGCTTCAGCAACTTTGATGTAGACTTCAATGATGAGTTTATCATTCTCCAAAAACCCTTTTTCCTGAAACTTGCTTAGAGGCAAGGTCTTTCGGCAACCCCACGCTGGATTCTCAGCGCAAAACAATTGGTTTTCCTTTCCCAATACTGTGGTTACATATACAAAAAGACAAAAAGTTAAGTTCTTCATCAATCACATGCTTAATGATTAATTGCTACCTCTTCAAGATTCAAACATTAGTTTAGGCATATTGCATTATCAACGAGTCCTAGGTAATATCTAGTCTCTCAGTGCTAAACGTTTGTAAATTCCAAATAAAAGAAAAGAGGTCAAACAAGAAAAGATATATAACTTACTTGGTGATTTGTAGAGTTCTTTGTTGGACTCATTAAGCACAAGGAAGTAATATTTAGCACTTCTCTTCCAACCAGTTCGCAAGGATTCACGATTTGCAACGTAGAGGAACAAACACAACTGATCATTATTGTCTCCCTTGGGGAGAACTGCAAGATACCTGAATATATAAAACGAAGAGATTAAACCCTTTTGTAATCAGTACAAAAAAAGAAAACAATAATTTAACCAATCTCCGAGAACATGAAGACACAGAGAGTTCTACAAGCTAAGTTTAAGTTTAGATCCTTCTATATGTCTTACCATTCGCATCCGTCAGCCTTGAAGTTCTCAGACACTATGAACTCTTCCTTGTCCGAGAAGTTATCTATCTCAAACCTGAAACTATCCCACATATTGGACATTGAAAATCTGGTAGATTTGATTATTTCTCGCAAAGAAGAATTTTTCAAGAAACTTTGTATGATGATTAAATTCAGGTATAGAGAGTCCTGTATTTATAGTAGAGGGCGCAAAAAGAAAAAAGGAAAAGTTCCTTAAAACCCTAGCCCGATAGGAATAAGAATACTCAAAACAAAATAATTAATTAAACTAAAATATTTTTCTCTTTATATGATAATAACAAATAAAGTAAAAATTTTAGTGTTTTTCCATTATAATTATCGTTAAGAAATTTCCATTATCTTTAAGTAAAAATTTTATATTATAGATATATTAATTTTGAGAAACTTCACGCCCACGCAAACCCACAAGAACCTGTGATTCGAAACGGAAAACCTCAAAAATATTTCGCATGTAAAGTTTTCAAACTGACTAATAAATTAATCAAAACGAGAGATCTTTATGTTCACCTTCCTGGATACAAACTCACGATATTAAACTGGTGACAGCATGCAGGAAGAAACACTCGACTTGGTATTCCAGCAGAAGTAACAATTGCAAGCTTTGTATGATAATGGTCACTGGCTTCTATCATCGGCAAGGTCTGAAAATCAGGTTAGCATACTCGCGTTACTGCTGAGTAACTAGTACGAATGGGAAATAGATGGCCTTGGTTAGTGCAAAATACTCTACTGGTCGATCTAGTTTATCAAAAAATTAAGAAACAGTGTTGACCTGCTGCCATGGACAAAAGCGGTTTGGTTCAATGGAGGTATCCCAAAACATTGTTTCCAACTAAGTAAAATTATTTATCATTTTAATTTTAACCAAACTCATATTAGTAATTTTAACCACAGAAAATATGTTTATAACTAAAGTAAAATATCATTTATTTGTAGTCATTTTCCTTGTTTAAATTGTTGAGCATTTGGCTCAGCAATAGTAAATACCTTTTAATTTTTTCAGATAATTATAAAAATAATTTAATTTTTTTTTTTATATATTAATGTTCTAACGTTATTATAGATCCATCCGGTTTAGAACTCAGGTATAAATAATGATAAAAGTGTTGTTTGTGTAGTCAAGTTACATCCATGTGCCCCTTCCATATTTGATGGTGACACTAATCAATGGAGATAAAGATTTAGAGCAAGAGATTGTTTCTCAGGATTGAAATCAAAGATTAGACCAAGAAGGAGGAACACTTTAAACCTAAAACATGATTCAAAGAAAACGTAAGTGATTCAGATACAGAGAATGAAACACACAACCATGTCGTTTTATTTAGAAGCCGAATCTCTACATCAAGCAAAGGCCTAGTTGACCAACAAAAATCCTTCAGCAGTTGATTTGTCCTTCTTCTTGTCTAGTTCAATTTCAAGACACGACACCATCAGCTCAACGTTCTTAAAGCTTTCCTCAAGTTGTTGGAACCGAGACCCATAAGCTTCATCAGATCTCTTCTTCTCTAAGGACATTTCCTCAATCTTTGTATTCAAACAATCCAGGTTGAATCCCAGTTGTTTGACACGAGACTCATCAGCATTATCAAGCTTTGAACTCAAACAGTCCACCTTGAATCCTATATTCATTAGCTCAATATTTTTGATACGTTCCTCGAGTTTTTGGACCCGAGACTCATCAGCAGCATTATCAAGCTTTGTACTCACACACTCAAGCTTGAATCCTAAATCTATCAGCTCAAGATTCTTGACGCGTTCCTCGATTTTTTGGGCCCGAGACTCACCAGCATCATGTGATTTCTTCTTCTCCAAGGAAATCTCCTCAAGCTTGGACAAACTGTCCAGTTTCAACCCTAATTCCATCTGATCAAGATTCTTGACGCTTTCTTCAAGTTTTTGGACACGAGACTTATCAGCATCATATGATTTCTTCAGCTCCAAGAACATCTCATCAACATTTGACCTCAAACACTCCTTCTTGAAGCCTGATTCCATCAGTTCAAGATTCTTGATGCGTTCTTCTAGTGTTTGGAGACAATATTCACCAGCAGCAAGTGATTCCTTCCTCTCCAAGGAGTTCTCCTCCTCAACCTTTGACTTCAAATTTTCCTTCTTGAAGCCTGATACCATTAGTTCAAGATTCTTGATACGTTCCTCTAGTTGTTGGACCAAAGACTCATCAACACCGTATGCGTTCTTCCTCTTGAAGGTAACTTCATCAAACTTTGACTTCATCCAGTCCAGCTTGACTCCTACGTTCACAAGCTCACTCAACTTGTTGCAAGCTTTGCTTATAGTATTCATCACGTACTCTGTGATTATCTTATCCACTGAAGCAACCTGCCAAGAAAACGTGTTTTTTTGGTTACTCAGTCCTATAATCAAGCAAATGTTTTATACAAAAACAAAAGAAGAGACATTACATAAGTAGCAAAATCTTGAAAACCATTGATATCTCCGCCTTCTCCATCAAAAGCATCAACAACTTTGATGTAGACTTCAATGATGAGTTTATCATTCTCCAAATACCCTTTTTCTTGAAACTTGCTTGGAGGCATCCGGTAACCCCATGATGGATTCCAAGCGCAAAACAAGCTGCTTGCCTTTCCAACTACAAAAAGACAAAAAAAAGTTCAGTTCACATGCTTACGTGTATATAGTTGCTACCTCTTCAAGATTCAAACATGAGTTTGTGGGATATTATCATCATATTCTCTAGTTGACAAAACAAAAAATCATCATATACTCTAATTAGTTTGCATCTCTTTGCTGAAATAAACTATCAACACTACTTTCTCAGTAGACCTCAATTCATATCCAAGAGACTTAGGTTTCTATTCCTAGATGCTTATTTAATTTCCTTTATTTTTTGGAACCAACAGGTGCTCTCTAGTCTCTTATTGCTACACGTTTGTAAACTCCAAACACATGAAATTTCAAAACAAAAAGAATCAAAGGAAAAGAGTCAAACAAGGAAAGATGTAACTCCATTACTTGGTGATCTATAGAGTTCTTTATTGGACTCATTCAGCACAAGGAAATAATATTTTGCTCTTCTTTGCCATCCAGTTCGCAAGTATTTACGGTTTGCAACGTTGAGGAACAAAGTCAAGTGATCTTTACAACGACCATAAACTCCCTTTGGATGAACTGAAAGATACCTGAAAAAAATGTGTAAAACAAAGTTGAAACCCTCCTAGCTAGCTAGATATAAAAACAATCAAATAATTAATCTCCGAGAACATAAAAAACAGAGATATATATTACTTTAACAAGTTAAGTTTAAGTTTAGATTCTTCTATGTTTTACCATTCGCATTCGCGAGCCTCGAATACATTCGACGCTATGACAGCTTCCTTGTTCGAGAAGTTACTTATCTCAAGCGTGAAACAAGGTTTTTGATCCCACATATTTGATCCCAAAAACAAATTTGGTAGGTTTTGTTTTTCGAGCAAAGACGAATTTTTCAGAAATTTTGTATGATGATACTTTCACGCATAGGAATCTTTTATTTATAGAGAGGACGCAAAAAGAAGAAAGGAAAACTTCTTAATTTGAAACTTTTCTCAAAAAGAAAAGAAAACTTCTTTGAAACCCTAGCCCAATAGGAATACTCAAATGCTCAAAGTAAAATAATTAATTAAACAATAAATATATATATACTCTTTATAGGATAAGACTACAATTAAAAATGTAATTTCTCTAGTGCCTTTCCATTATAATCTATTATATTAAAAGAGAAGTCATGACTCACTTAATGTGTGATATTTTAGTTTGGACTATCTCTAGAATTTTATAAAATTTTACATAACATTATAATATCTTTTCATATCTTTAATTTTTGTTTGAAATACAAATAAATTGTTTTAATAAAATTCTAACAAAATCTTTTAAAAATCTTTTAGAATTTTTTTTTACGATTTAGTTTGAAAAATTATTTGATTAAAATTTTAACTATCATAAAATAAAATTAAAATTTTAATTCATTTTTAATTTATAAAAAAATTAAAATTATGTAAAATACTTTTAACAATATCCCAAAAAAAAAATTATGTATTATGTAAGTCCAACTTAATTTATTTTTACATAGATTTCAAATTTAGAAATAAAACAAAATATAGAAATTGGTGATCTTACATAATAATGTTATTAAAAATTGTTACAAAAATTAAATTTATAAATTTTATATTAATAATATTATAAGTCACATAAAAATTATTATAAAATGGGATAGCATACAGAATCAAATTATACTTATTTACTGATAAATTTTATTATATAATTTTAAATATTTTTGTATTAAAATACCCGCACGGTTGTGCGGGTCGAAATCTAGTTATCATTAAGCGAACATCTGCATCAAAAGTTTTAAAGAGGTCACACAAATCCCAAAAAAAAAAAATTAATATGTTAATCTGATTTTTATGAATCCGTGTTGTATGAGTTCATTGGGATGAACCCGTATCAATATTATTCGCAAGCCTCATTAACACGTGGCGGCCTACGATTGGTTGGTTGATTATTTGTTTTTTTTATTTAAAAAAAAAAATCAAATGAAAAACAAAATTAATAAAAGGATTTCGGGAATAGAGAGTTTTACTGATCGCATGCTCTAATCTTGAGGAAAATATTGTATATTGAAGAATATTAAAGAACCATTGAAACCTAACATCTCTTTCCCAGTTACATCTCCTTCATGAGCAACTTCAGCCACTTTTATACTTTGAGGCAACGTTTTGAAAACCCCACTTTTATACTCTGAGGCAACGTTTTGAAAACCCCATCCCGGGAACTAGTCACATTTTTTTTAACTAGTCACATTCTTCTGTAAGAAAGAAACGACATATTGGTAGATACATTTATTTCTTTTTATTTTCACCAATAAGCATGTTGTGAATAACTACCAGATCGTTAGACTCGAATAAACCAAAATTTGTAGGATTTTTGTTACAATATGATTAAAAAAAATTGGATTCAGTTAGGAGGCTAATCACGGATATATGAGATGTTATCGTAGAGCTTAGTATTCAGAAAGCAAGAAAAAAAGAACACAAAAACAAACCATTGCAGACTCTTCTTAATAAACTAACAACTAGATTATGCCTCGTTAGACCAACAAAAATTCATCGGAAGAAGACTTAGCCTTCCCCTCGTCCAGTTTTGCTTTGAGATCGGACACCATCGTCTCAAGATTCTTGACGCTCTCCTCAAGTTTTTGGACTCTAGACCCATCAGAGTCATCTGCTTTCTTCTTGTCCAAGGAAACATTCTCAAGCTTCGACTTCAAACAGTCCATCTTGAAGCTTGACTCCATCACCTCAAGGTTCTTGACGCGTTCCTCAAGTTTTTGGACACGAGGCTCATCAGCTTTTGCTTTCTTTCTCTCCAAAAGAACCTCATCAACCTTTCTCTTCAAAGAGGCCATCTTGTTTTTCTTCTTCTCAAGATGTTTCACACGTTCCTCGAGTTGTTGGACCCTGGAACCATCAGAACCATCTTTCTTCCTTTCCAAGAAAATATTCTCAAGCTTTGACTTCAACCAGTCAATCTTGAAACCCACTTCTTCCAGCTCACTCAACTCGCCGTGAGTGGTGATTAGCTCAGACTCTGAGTGACTCTGTAAAGGCTTGTTTAGTCTATTGATGACACCAAGAAGGACATTCATGTACGCTGTCTTCACCACTTGGTTCTTTGGTTTGAAACAAAATGCCATGTCTGGGTGCTCTGCGAATATCTTCCTAACTGAAGCAACCTGCAGAGGAGATTATTTTATATATATCAAATGAAGTTACCCTAAAACGCAGTTTTTCCATTTAAAAAAAAAACAATTATCCTTGTAACTTACATGAGATGTAGAAACCTGAAAACCGTTGATATCCACCGTCTCCTTGTCTAATACATCTTCAATCACATTAATGTATACTTCAATGATGAGACTCTTCTTCTCTATAAAGCACTTCTCCTCAAGCTGGCTAAGAGGAAATGTTTTTTCGATGCCCCATGCTGGCTTCTCAGCGGTAAACACTGCGTTTTTTGCAACTGTGAAATTAAAAAAAAAAAAAAATTTATTCATCATCAACGACATCTTTATAATTTCTAAGTCTTTAAGATTCAAACATTTTCACTAGTTTCTCAGCAAACATTTATTTATAGCTCCAATAAACTCTTGGCCTCTCCCTATACACTTTTAAAAATATATACACTAAACCTAGCTTTCTAGTTCATATTAGTTAAGTATATTCCAAGAAGAAAAAAAAAGGAAGGATAAAACTTCGTTACTGTCAGATCTGCAGCACTCTATATTGCAATGATTCAACGCGGTGAAGTAAAAATTAACATTCCTTTTCCATCCAAGTGGCAATGATTTAGGGTTTGCAACTCGCAGGAACACAGATACGTGATCATCAGCGTGACGATCTGATCCCTTGGGATAAACGTTGAGAAACCTGTAACAAATATTAAACCCTTGTTTAACTAGTGCTACGTATATATAATAGAATAACATTAAGAGATGTTTTAAAGAGTCTTCTTGTTGTTAATTTTACCATTCGTATCCGCCAGCAACGAATACCTTAGACAGTATGCTAGCAGCTTCCTTCTCCTTGAACTTCTCTATCTCAAACCTGAAGCTTGGCTTTGGACTCCACATGTTTTGATCAAACTGGTTTTAATCGTGGTTCCAGACGAGACAAACTTTCAGAAACTATGTTTGAGATTTTTCACGCATGAATAAGCCGTCTGCTTATATAGGAAGCAAAACAAAAAGCGAACAAAGTCTGAAAACCCTAGTTCAAAAGCGAACAAAATCGTTGTTAACCAATTCTTTTTTTAATAATGAAATAAGATCTTTATCTATAAATAAATACTAGAACTTCACCCGCACCCCCGTGCGGGTGTTTGATTTAACTTGTGTTTAACGTAAATTTATAAATCGTTGGTTTTTTACAAATTTTTTTATGTTTTGTAATTTACATATAAAGTAAAATATATTATTTTATAATATAAATATTTAATAATAATTTTTATTTGTACATAGTAGTATATTAGAAATTTTATAACTTGATGCAATTTAATGTAATCGTACTATTCATATACTAACATTTTGTTTTTTTGTTAATTTATTTTAAAATAAAACAACATACTAAAAATTATTTTTTTGAATTAGTTTTCTATGAATTATCATTAATTTTATGATATTTTTTTTTAAATTGAACTCACACAATTTTATATTTGACTAAATTAAATAAGGTAATATTATATTTAAAAATTATTTTATATAATGTATACAATATATTTTGGTTTGTATTTTTATTTTCATCACAGAGAAAGAAAAATCATTGAAATTAATTAACTTAAACTGATTTTAAATGCAATGACATAATCTGTAAATAAAAAGAAATAAAAAAGGAAAGTATTTAATTTATTGTAAATACAATGGCTAAATATACAAATAAAAGAAAATATTTAATTTACTATCCATGTTTCCAAACAATGTTTCATTTATTTTGTTATCCTTATTTCCAAACAGTACCAAAAGGTACTTCAGTTTTAATAATATAGATTATAACTACGTCTAGATCTTATTTTTTATTTGGGATTAAAAATAATAAATAGCCATTAGTTTCAAATTTATTATACAAAAATTCGATGAGATATCTATTTATTTTATACATAATCTCTATTATAAAAATAGAAATAAAAAATAAAACACCCTTATAGTTTTTCAACTTATTTACATTGGCACTAGGTGATTTTCCCGTGCTCATGCACGGACATAAATATTTAAAATAAATATATTATAATAATTGATTGATATTTACTTCAAATTTAAAATTAATTTATAATTTGTAGATATAATCTATATTAATAATGTTATATTAATTTAATTATATATAATTTTAGATATGTTATATTTCGTCAGTTTTATTGTTTTTACGGTTGATTTAGTTATCATTGAAATATATTAGATTCTATCTATTTCTTGGAATTCAACTATAATCTTTTTTATTCTAAATATATTAAATTTTTAATTAATTGTCTTATTTGCATTTATGCCGGTTGTTATCTTAGAAATATAAGTATATCCTGATTCTAAATTACATACTTAAGTAACTAATAAATTTTTGCAAGCTAATGAACACATATCAATATTTACAATATTTAGACTGATTAAATGATAAACTGAAATTTATTTTAAATAATTTTAAAAATAAGGATTCTGATTTGTTTAAGTATTTTGATTATGGTTATATTAAGTTCCACAAACATAAAAACAGAAAATTAAAAATCAAAAGAGTTATTAAGAAAACATATAATTTTAACTATTAAAATATAATATATCTACTTCGATAAATTATATAATGTTATGATATTTTAAGATAATTGTAGTTATTTGATGAAAAAATGTTTATTATTAAAATTCATT